GACAATGATTATCTACTTTACGATTATCACCAGTACTATTATCGAGTGTTTTTTTTACAAATATGACAATTTAATGATGTAAAGTGGCTGTTCAGCCTGTGACAGTGGGTGCGCATTGGAACAATATTTTTATAGTGATTATCATAAATTAACGTAGCGTCTTATATTAACCGTTCAATAAACATATTAACGCAGTCCTGTCACGCATATGTAACAAATTTATTGAATTTTGAATCAAACGCGCAGATCACATTAGTCTACAAAAAAATTCATAAAATGTACATTTGACGCCACTGTATTTTTCTTATGTAGTTTGGTCCCCTAAACCCAAAAATCATATATGATTTTATATATTCCTATCGGTTCGATAGTTTTAAAACAATGGCCCATAATATGTGAAAAAGGGTTTTTTTTAGACAAAATGTGAACCAAAAATTCATTCAATATCCGTGGAGAGTCGCAGAAAAATTCTTTTTTACCTTCTACGTAAACTTTGCTCTTTTAAGAAGACAACAAGGTACGCAGGATAAGAATCTATGGAGAAATTACCAAAAATTATGATCCTTATTAGCCTGTGACTTTTAAATCTGCACAAATTTTCCATTCATGGTCTTCGTAATTAAGAGATTTTAATAGTTTAACCATTGTTTCGTACGATTCTTTGGTATTTACAGCATACGCGATCGGAATTGATGGTTTCTCATTTCCATTATGCAAGAGAACTGCTTTCAAACTACTTTTATTCTTCATCACATATTTTTTCCAGTTCCGGTTTGTTTACTTAGGTAAAAGTAGCAGTTGGTTGTATGACAAAGTGGTTCTCTTCAAATCATTGGAACGCCAAATTTCATGTACCGCCACGTTAAAAAAAATTATAAACTATAAAGTATTTTTAACATGAATTACATATTAAAATAAAGAATTGCACTTTTTGTAATGGATAGTTTATTATATTTTCGTTCTACCGGTTTCGACTCAACTTAGAGTCATCTTCAGGAACACCTAAAGTTACAAACGAAATAAGAACAAATTTTTAGTTACAACAAATACACTTAAATTTATAGGGTATGTTTTTCTTAAAAATAATAAAATGAATGAGTTTAAACTTACGTCACAATTTGAATTAAAACCTTGGTACTATTATTGAACATTTGTTCGTGATTAAAAAAATCAGCAAGGATATCAAGAACTTAATAATTGCTTAATTATAGGTGAATGTGATGATCGATGAATTGGCTGACAAGATGGTTGTCCGGATCGTGAATGTCAAGGTCAAGCATATATCATGAAGTTTGCGACTAAATCAAAAAATTTTTTTTCCAAATTTTAAAAAAGGGAATATCTAAAAACTACAATAAAAAATTGTAATTTTTTCAAAAAAAACATCAAACAAATGCAGAGGATAGTAGAAACATTTTCAATCTCTTTAAAATATGTATACAACAGAATTTTTGTTCATTTACTGATAAAATATACACATACACCAAGGGTCTTCCGATGGGATCTCCGCTCAGCGGATTGCTAGCTGACATATTCCTGAACAACATAGAAAAAAATTTGATTTGCAATAACATAAACCCATACAGAAATAATATAATATTATGACAACGTTACGTTGACGATATTCTTCTTTTCATGAATACGAGGGATTATTGAAGGTTTACACACATACATAAATGAACTGCACAAAGACATAAAATTCACAATGGAAAAAGAACAAAACAACAGATTAAACTTTCTTGACAACTCTTGTCTTAAAGTTAAAAAAACTCAGAAGTTAAAAAATTTTAAAAATCAAAATCGAAACATCGAACATCACAAACCAAAATGATTGATATAAAGGCAACACGATATAGATACAAGATAGTGTTTGAGTAACAATCAAAATAGGAGATTGAAGATAAACAATATTAAATGTCGATTATAAAGAAGGGGGAATGGTGTGACAGTTTTTGGGGTATGGGAATAGATAGGAATTTTTGGGAGAGAGAGGAGGTGTTGGTAGTCAAGGAGCCCAGACGTTGCGACACTCAAGCTACTACCACAGAATAACCAGAACTGACAGCTTTGTCGGAACGTTTGATGTTTTAGATTGGCGAGTTTGGGACCTCGATGCTTTGGCGCCATGTATGGCTCTACTGTTTCAGTCATTTTATTGGAGTTTATAATACAGGTTCACACGCTCAAATTTGTATCGTAAAAGAATTATTTATACACAGCATTTTTTTATGTTTATACTATTATTTTATTTAATAATATAATATATACACAATTTATATATAAAAGTAGAATTGAAATATAAATTTTTTTAATCCATCGTTATTGATCATTTTAAGGACAGAATTACACGTTCTTAGTAATTTACCCAAACAGTTAATGATAAGAAACATTATTTAATTATTTGAGATACACGTACTTATATAAACTTATGTATATGTATATCATAAATAGACTTTAGGTTGGGGTCAATATGTCAAACTTTTATTAGTAAATAATAAAGCGATGTGATATTAGCTCAAAATAAACTCCAATAAAATGACGATTCACAAGGCCCGATTTTGTCTAGACGGGCTCACTGTCATTTCTGGTTATTCTGTGCTACTACCGTAGCTTGAGTTCCTCGTTCGTCTGGGATTTTTTTAGGGGGGGTATATGGTGTTCTAAGAAAGGTGTATATTGATCGGGTATTGGTTGTGATCTGGTCGTTTAGGCAGATCTTCTGTGGATAATTATACTTGAACTTATTAATTTCGTAATTCTCGAGGGCTTCGAGTAAGTTGCTCTTATTTTTGGAGTGAAGTAACGTGGTGTTTTCCTCTTCATTGAATTGGTGGTCTTTATTGAAGATTAAATGCCTGCCAAAATTAGATCTGTCCTGGGTTTTGTGTTCATTTATCCGTGTTTTTAACGATGTCCCTGTCTCTCCTATATATATGTAGCATTACAGGTTCCGCATTCCAGTTTATACACTCCGTTGTTGTTTAATTTCTTTATCTTGTCTTTGTTGTTGGTTAAAATTCGTCCTATGGTGTTGTTACTTTTATTTATTTATTTATCATTTATTCTTATTCTGTCTTAAAGATTTTCTTTAGTTTGCTGTTAATATTCCCCTGATATTCTATAGATTTGTATGATAAGGTTTGAACTTCTTGTTGGTTGTTAAGTGTTGTCATGTTGTTGAGAGCGTTTCTGTTAATTTGTTTGTTAAACATTCTATCAATAATTTCTGGTTCATACATAATTATTGTTATCTCTATTTTTTTTTCGGTTTGATCTAATTTTGTATTTAGAGCTCTATTTATATAGGCTCTAAATGCTGCCATTTTATGGGTGTATTCGTGGTGAGAGTCTTGTGGGATAATTATATCTGTCTGTGTTTGTTTCCGATATATTTTGTATTGAAGGTGGTTATCATTTTTATCTAATGTTATGTCAAGAAAGTTTAATCTGTTGTTTTGTTCTTTTTCCATTGTGAATTTTATGTCTTTGTGCAGTTCATTTATGTATGTGTGTAAACCTTCAATAATAGTATCATCCCTCGTATTCATGAAAACAAGAATATCGTCAACGTAACGTTGCCATAATATTATATTATTTCTGTATGGGTTTATGTTATTGCAAATCAAATCTTTTTCTATGTTGTTCAGGAATATGTCAGCTAGCAATCCGCTGAGCGGAGATCCCATCGGAAGACCCTTGGTGTATGTGTAATGTAATTAAATGAACAAAAATTCTGTTGTATACATATTTTAAAGAGATTGAAAATGTTTCTACTATCCTCTGCATTTGTTTGATGTTTTTTTGAAAAAGTTACAATTTTTTATTGTAATTCCACTACAAAAAGTGCAATTCTTTATTTTAATACGAATAATGGAAACAAATAATAACTACACCAAAATGAAATACATACTCTGGCGCGTCGGAAGCCCATCCACTAAGATTTATATGGCAATTAAGGCATAAAAAACTTGGTGTCCATTGTTCTTGAAGATTCTCAACTGCTATTCCAAAATATTGGGGATAATTTTGTTGTACCGAATTAGTAAATTTACGGATGTTTTTCTTGACGACATATTCACCACATACATAGCAGAAATTAAGGGGGTCGTTTTTACACTCAAAAATTCGTTGTCTTTTACTCATTTTATAATCAAGTATACAATTAAACTATATTATTACACGATACAATTTGCAAACAACTGTTTAGCGCTGAATATGGAACTCGAATGAATAACTTTAGCAATCTTACTCTCCACGAAACCTTCCCTTACGGTACAGTGGGGGTTTTCATTCCGGGAAAAGACCTTTTCATTTGCCTACGAGAAATATATTTATTTTAATATTGTTCAAGTAGGTAAAAAAAGATGGGACAAACCTGTATGCGAAGATCCTTTGTTCTAAAACCGATAGTTTTCCAAGAATAATAAAATGCACTAGTACCTCAAATATCCTTTTTAAGGTAAACTTAATTCACTGAGTAAAACGGCAATATACATTAGGAATACCGAAAAATATAGAAACAAGAAGAACCTGGGCATCTTCCTATTTGTTTAAAGTTCATAGATTTTGTATTTTGAATTCATTTTTGTGTTTCTTACGTTTTCCGAAAATATTAAAACAAGTTTTATTTTTTGTATTATTCGTACGAACCACGTAGAAAATCAGTCAGTTTCGTTGTTGTAGTTATTAAGTTGATTTAATTATTGTTTAGTGCAGTGTGGAACCAAACCATTTAATTTCATAATATAATATATTGATAGTAAGTTATCTTTAATTCATTCTCAAACGAACTCGTAATTTCTCAACCTCAAAACATTTGGTCCTTCGAGCCGGATCGCTCGCGTGCGGTAAAACGTTTCGGACATTTTAACAAAACGTTTCTCAATTTTCGTGAAATAATATTAAACAATTATCGGGTTCGTAAATCAACTCATTCTTTAATCTCCGATTCTCAAATTTATCTCAAATAATCGTTAAAATTCGTTTAAATCAGATAGAAAATGTCTGAAGTTAGAATTACTCTAGATCGACAGATCGAACTTTACGGTCTAATTTCGCGTGCAATGACAAATTTGAAAAAACTAGGCGATGCAAATGTGACGATCGGTCGAATAAAAAGTCGTTTAAATTTATTAAATTCAAATTGGGCTAAATTCCAGCAAATTCATGAAACTGTAACTGGTAATCGCGATGAATTTCAAGATCACGTTTATTTTAAAGACGATATATATGCTGAGTGCGAAGAACAATACGTAAATATTCAAGGAGACATGTTCGATCTTATAGATAAGTTATCCGCTCCCTCTGACAACTTAGCAAATAATTCTTTAAATAATACAACACGTGCTATAAATTCTCATTCTCCTAAATTACCAAGAATAGATTTACCAAAATTCTCTGGAGACTATCTACAATGGAAACATTTTCATGACTTATTCGATTCTATGGTTAAATCTAATTCAGAACTCTCTTTGGTCGAAAAATTACATTATTTAAAAATGAGTGTAACGGAAGAACCCGCCCAACTTTTAAAAAACATCGCGATTTGTGAAGATAATTTTGCTCGAGCATGGGATATTCTTATAGATCGTTACGAAAATAAACGAATTCTGATTGATTCTCATTTGTCAGTTCTTTTGTCGACTCGATCAATTAAACATGAATCGTCCAGCGAGCTTAAGCGTTTGATAAGTGAGATTAAAGAGAATCTTGGTGCACTTGAAGCATTAGATTGTCCTACAAATCAATGGGATAATATACTCGTTTTTTTGATTGTACGAAGACTTGATCCTGAAACCCTCAAAGATTGGGAAAAATCTATTGGGAGTAAGAAATCCCCAGCAACGTTTAAAGAGTTAGAAAGCTTTCTTTTTGGAAGAATTCATAGTCTTGAGGCGATTGAACAGCTCACTTCTACAAAACGAAACATTCCAATTAAGCCTATTGGTAACGTTAAATCTCACAACGTTTCAACGCCGACTCACAATCAAATGGGGGATTGCCATTTGAAAAAAATACCGATGACGTCATAACTCACTTAAAAATGGTGGAAAAAATTTAAAATCTACACCAAACAATTGCAAAAAATTTAAATCTTTAGACCCGTTTCAGGGATTTTTCCAGAAACCGTTTATAATGATTTTATCGCCTATATCCGTTACTTTACGGACGCACTGTATAATAATAATTGAATAAGCAAGCGTGGTGCCTTGCCTCGCCGTAAATTAAAATCATGTCCGTTTTTTTCCTTCTTCGAAAATTCAAATGGCATTTTGAACACTGAGTGGTTTGCACAACTTCAATATCAACTTTAGAAAAATCACACGTAAACTGAACCAAACAAAAAAACGTACGTCAAAATTACACCTTCGCAGGTAGGAAAAGAAAATAGTAATTCTCCGAAACATAATTTTTGTGTTAATTATTTTCTTCACGCATTTGTTACAATTTACAAAACAATCTCGTGGCATACTACAACTTCTACAAAACAAACAACTTCTTTAATCTGTTTCCAGGAATTTCTTATGTTTTTTGTTATTAACATTATTTGCTACACATCTTTTAATCTTTTTAACAAGATTTTATTAAATTGATTAAATTCATACTGACATAATGACAGATCATGATCTGGTTTTCTGTAAACTCAAAATTAGTTCAAACGGCGAACCTAGATTGAGATCTGAGTATTCTCATTAGATCATATACTTACTTCGACTATGAGATTTTTCCGGCGAACTTGTTTCGAATGCCATTTTTTCAAATTTTTGACATAAGAGATGTGAATGACAAGGTTACCTGCTTAATGCAGCTTATCTTGGCGGTTTTGGACGTGCATATGCCTCTCAAAACAATCTCAAGAGTGCATGCCCCAACCCCTTGAATCACAGATAATATAAAGCTCATGCAAAAGCTACGAGATAAGGCCTATACCAAGTACCGCAACAACATGTCAGTAACTAAGTGGAAATATTATAAATCTTTGCGTAACCTGGTAAACACATCGATTAACCGGGAACGTAGAGCTTATTTTGAGTCGGAACTGATATCTACAAGTAATTGTTGGAGAGCTCTACAGAATGCGGGAATGTTTAAAAGAAACTGTGTGCTTCCGCCCCACCTCGGTTCGCTAAATGATATTACTAATCATTTTATTACCACAAGTGGGGGGAGTGGTGGATCAGACAAAGAGCTTGTAAATTTCTATAACTCAAACCTTAAGCAGGGTGTATATTTCAGCTTTCGGGCAGTAACTGACGACGATGTAGAACGTGCTATGCACAGTATAAAGAGTAATGCGCTTGGGTATGATTATCTTAATACTAAATGTATCAAATTATGTTGACCTCACTTGATACCCTACATTCGCGATATTATAAATTCAAGTATAGCTTCCGGTGTCTTTCCGAAAGCTTGGAAAAAAGCGTTAATCTAGCTGTTGCCCAAAATTAATAAACCATCAGGTCTCAACGATTTGAGACCCATTAGCATCCTGTCTGTGCTTTCAAAAATTGCTGAACGAATCTTATATGAACAACTGGTGACCTTTGTGGAGCCTGTAAGCTACTCAACAGCTGATGATCAACCTTTCCAATTCAATAAACTAAATGTCGTCTAATTTCACTTCAACAGCCTCATCCTCAAAATGGAGATAATCGAATTCATTAATCGTCTCAAACTAGACATCTTGTTTGTTAACGAGACGAAGTTAATGGCAACAGACGACATTTCAATCCCCGGTTACGTCATCTGCCACAAAGACTACATCCGCAGATCCCGTGGAGTGGCCTTCTTAATTAAATACACGAACCTCCACACTCTAATAAAAACAACACTCTACAGGTCCCTGAACAGCAGTCTTGCGATAGTCGATCCAGACCAACTCCTAGGCCACCACAATAAAATCATCGTCCTCGGTGACTTTAACCTCTGAGATACATCGTTGGGCTGTCACAATAGGAACACAAAACCCCGCACAATCCATCGGTACACCGAATCCTACCATCAATGACTCGGCTTCCACACCGTCCTGACAACTACCGTTCAGCAACAATCAACAAGCCTCTGTATACAGGATGTGCCGTATCTTCCGCATCAGAGCATTATACGGTTGTGGGATACATTATTCTGAAGCGATCTTTCTAATAAAATTTTTCCGAAATGTTTAAACTCGTCCAATAGCAGATCGTAAATCAGACACAGGTAATCGACCCCACCCCCGGCCGGTCTGCCGCACCGTTCATATCACGTTTCTCACGTGTACTCACCAATAGATTCGACACGGAAAGAGAAATAAACTTTTTTCGTGAATTCGTGAATCCGCTATTGGACATCTTTAAATAGTTTCCGTGCGGTTATTATAAACATTTCGAAAAAAATTTATTAGAAAAATGGCTTCAGAATTTTGTATCCTACAACCGTATAATGCTCTGATGCGGAAGATACGGGACATCCTGTATTAGTATTAATACTACTAATTAGTTTCAATTTCAAAAACTGTCTTAAGCTGCCTGGTTAGAGGTATAATAATAGTTGGTGAAGATGCACAAAATCATTTGCTTCGAAATTGTTATAAGTTACGCGAATTATACGCAATTATGCATTGAAAATATTTACAAAAGTGTGTTAAAATTGCATGTCTTTGATGACCTGTAACTTTGCAATTTGATTGCTGTTACCAACTTTTCGATAAGAATCCGGATTGTTTTCACGCTAGTATATGTAACTATTGTATCTAGACATAAATTATTCATGTATAAATAAAGATACACTGCAAGTTTATATGAAAAATGGTTTTGCATGTATTCAGGTTAAGTGTCCCTTCTGGATAACAGATATAGATCAAAAGTGAATCTGCATCGAGATCTATGATTTTAGTGTAACTTAGATAAAGTTTTTATCACTGCAGCTAATCACGTTTTTAATTTATCTTGTATACATATTTGAATACATACATACTTAAATAAATACGTACATAAACGCAGACATACTGCTAAACATACTTGAAATTTTGGCACGATTACAATACTTTAAGTTTATATTCTTCCAATTTCTGAGAAACCAAAAATGTTTTCTACAATAATAATTTATATTGAGGTGATATTCTTTAAATTCCTTTTAAAGGATTTTATGCCTTATACGTAAGGTCATGAAAGGAAGCGAAATAAAAGCGGTTGTTTACCTTTGCTTATTTATAAACCTTTTGTATATGGAAGATACATATGGAGTGATGCAAAACAACCGTTTTCCCTAATTATCATTTTAGATGTTTGGTTATTTCTCTTTATCAGATCTACAATACTATTTAATTTTTGTAGATGTAACTAAAAGAATCTATTAAAAATTCAATCAAAATATTAATACGCATACAAATTCTTATTTTAAGAAATTATTATTTAATTTGTTTTATAGTTTAGCCACAAAATTAAACTAAATAATATTAAAAATGATTTATACTTAGTGTTTGTAAATCTTGTGAACTGTACTGTTTTCCATCATTGGTCGAAACTTTTAACCCGGGTACCTCGTTTCGCATTTCGGAAACGCTTTACCGATCTTCTATTTGTTCTGGTGGAAAATCTTTTCGACAATTTGGTTCAATTTGGTATAGTGATAGTATGGGCCAAAATTAGGTTTACGTTTTTTTATACGTGCTAGTAAAGCTTCAGGAGAAAGTTATATTATAACTTATAAGGGTTGGAAATCGTGGCGAACTGTATAGCAGGTGTCCCATCTGTTATAATATAGGCTTTTTTTTTTGACGACTAAATTTCAAGATAGAAACTCCAAAATCATGTCAAATAAATTTTTTATTGCACCGTTTGCGAATAATTTGCAATAAATTTAAAAATGACGAAATTTATGGTTTTATTTTTTAACGATTCTTATACCATATGATGTGGGAATCATAGCAAAGTAATTCTACACCAATAAATTTGCGATTTATTCACTATTTACGATCAAAATGAAGAAAAACAGAATTCGACAGTTGGAAATGAGTTTTAAGTTACGGTACGCTAATTGGGTACATTTATTCACGTGATCATTAAATTTCAGTACATCATCAATTAATAGTCCCAGACTTTTTACAATATTACTACATGTAACACTTGTGTTGTTTACAAAAATTATAATTTGGATAAGAGAGTCTCGATCTTTTAGGCGCAAAAAGGATTAATTCGGTCTTTGATGGGGTAATGTATAGATTATGACGTTCACAAATTTCAGCTATACTCTGAAGATCAGAGTTAATGCGTTCACAAGCAGCTGTCACATCAGAGGACGGAAAGGAGCAGTACAGTTGAGTGCCATCAGCGTAAAAATGCGAACTACAATATTTTGTGAAGGTTTCAAAATGACATGTATGCACAGTATACAAAAGAGGGCCAAGAATGGATCCTTGTGGTACACCTGACAATAAACCCAACGCACCCAAGATACTGTCACCAATAATAACTGATTGTCGACGAATTTTTAAACAATTCCGTAGCAATTCGACGTCCCCGTCATCCAGACCAACAAATTGCAAAATAGAACACAGGTCATGGTTGATTGTGTCAAATGCTTTGGAAAAATCTACAAGACACAAAACTGTGACATTTCCCTTGTCTATTACAGACACCACATCATGTATAATGGAAATTAATGCGGTGGTATAGCTGAAGCCAGGTCTAAATCCAGACTGCATTTCTGGCAGGATATTGTTTTTCTATATAAAATTACTCAGCTAAAAAGCTGGAATTTTTTCAGTTACCTTCGATAGTACAGGAAGGATGCTTATGGGTCTTAAATGCATAAAATTAATAGGGTTCTTAATTTTTGGTAATGGTTTAACCAGAGCAATCTTCCACGCATCTGGAAAGACATTCTCACTTATACAGAAATTTACAGTATGAGTCAAATATAAAAGAATATGAGGACATGATAACTTAATTAAATCATCTACATTCGTAGAATTACTTTTTATTGAAGATATTATGCTTTTCATAATATCAATGTCATTAACTGGAGTAAAAGAAAAAGTTGCATTAATCAACTTTTTATTGGTATAATACTCATAAACCTCATTATCCACTGATGTATTTTGCGTTATGCAACGCGTTAATGAATATATTAGTTTCTTAATTTAATATTAAAGCACATTCCTACTTTATAAAACAATTAAAGTAATAAGTATGGTAATGTGATGCCTTACAGTGTTAGGAAGTTACGAATATGTGGCCAAAAATCTAATTACAACTAAATGAAGTTGAAAATGTTTACTACCTTTATAATATCTCCTTAATGGTTAGCTAGGATATATTTAATCTATATACAGTGCTTAAAACAAAATTTAGGATGTTGAAACGAATATTTGAAAATAAAAGCGAAACAAAGGTTTTGCTGTGGTTTGGGTTGTATCTTTAAGCTAATATAATTCCGAAAACATGGTACATTTATTTCCTGTACCCTAACAATAAGTATATATGCTTATATATATATAATATATATACACTGTGTACATAAAGTATGGAATCAATTCGATAAAAATTCGGGGGATATTCTTCCAGAAAAAAGGCTTGGACATCTATGTTATATTTTTTAACGCGCATTTTTCCAGATAAAATTGAAATGTAGAGGTGTCCCAAAATTGAGATACCATGCCTAAGTTGACATTTTAAAATAGGAACCCACATTTTTTTTNGTTTTTGGAAATTGATATGCAAAATAAGTGTTAACTTTACATGTCATTTTTATCCAGAGTTGAAGTTAATAAAAAGTGGTTATTGCGGAGTAGCGAGTATTACGATATAACCTAACGATCCCCATTTGCCAAAATATTAAAAAAGAAAATTAGTAAAATCATATTATGGCCAGTAATTTCACATTTCCTAACACTGTGTGCCTTGTGCTTATTGGACAATTATTATTACAAATTGTGAAACTAGATATGAAGTAGTCATTTAATTATTGTTAAGTCAACATGTAAACGTCGTACCAATTAATAAAATATAATAAATGTAGGATTAGATTGTCAAATTAAAAAACACCTGTTTTAACAGTAACAAACTATAGTTATTTGTATTATAAGTAAAGAAAGTATACTTCTTAAAGAAGAAGTTACTTTTCTTTAAGAATAATACATGAAGTTTTTTCGGACACTCAATTTAAATGAATATGAACATTTTATAAGAAATTATTTAAAAAGTACACGACGAGCTCGAGAATCAAATTGTCGTTTCTGCCGTTTCCCTCACTACAGCAACCAAACAAAAAAAATAAAGTAGTGATTCATCAGGAGATCATCAGGAGGTGTTATCAAAATCGTCACTAACATGTGGTGATTTACAGTTACAACAGTGTACATCAAGTATAAGCTTCTCTAACCTTAATAATTGTACGTTTAATATTTATTCTAATAAATAATTAATTGTTTATTTGGTTGCTATAAAAAATGGTTGCTATAAAGAAATGAGGTATTTTTCTTTGCGATTTGTAATAAGATAGGCCATTTGCAGTGAGTGTTCGAAAAAAGTATTTATTAATGTAAAGTAACAAACTATTAAACATTTAGTCTTTAAACATATTTAACACTCTTTTATTTACAAATGTATTAATCATTTATTTTATAAGAAAATAGTTCAATTATTCTTTACGTCTTTACTCGTACCCGCTCTTCTTCATTCAGTCTCTCTCTACTGTTCTCCCTCTGAATTGTGCTCTCTCTCAATCCCACATAAATATTATTCTTTGAGTTTCATATAAAACACTAAATAATTCATAAATAAAGATAGTTTATTACAAAATCTTTCGCATAAATTTAGAAATATGAATGTTTCATTAAATGATCTAAAACGCGGTTATTGCGGTACCCCTCTCATCTTCGATCATTTCAAATTCGAGAAAATAAGATTAGATACAGACGTAGACAAAGATATTTTATTTAAGAAAACGAGTCTAACAAGTTTTTTTCTGTATTAATTGGCTCTATTTATCTTTTTAACTATACCTAATTTTTTTTCGAAAAGTGATTTATGTGAAGCATTTGAAATGTTTTCAATGTAACATAAATTGATACGAGAAATTGATAACTACATGATAATTACACCAATTTTCTATACATACCCATTAATAAGTTGAAATTGGTTCAATCGATTATTAATTATTAAACATTCTCCTTACGCCATTATATAGCCCTGTACGATTTAATTTAATTCAGAAAAGACGTACAGATGATGAAGGTGATATTTTATAAATTTATATCGATATATTGTTTGATTAAGGTGAGAATTAATTAATTAACCCTTTTAAATCTTTAAAGCAATATTTTAGGATCTGTTGGGAATACCGCCAGGTTTTACCAATAAAACTTCATTTCCGATTGGTTTACTAGTACACATATGTCTTCTCACATTATCATTTATAATTATATTATGTTTGATCGTTTCATGTATTATAATACAAATCTTTTTGTGGGGAATGGATTTGTGGTTAATGTACAAATTGGGCCGGAATTACGGTGGTAGATTAATAGGACAAGACGCAGCTTTGGAATCGACCGACGAGAAAATTCCGATTTCGATCATAATAATTTTGAATCATGACGAAGATCGGGCAGCCCTTAATAAACGGTTAGAAGAAACATGTAAAAGAGTACATAACAGTCTTGGTAAACTATCGTGTACAATAGAAAGGTGTTTGGGTTTTCCTTATTACGTAAAGAATCAAGTAACTGACGAAGATATCTGTGTTTACACTAAAGTTAACGATAAAGAATATTTAACCAGAGATGAATTATTGGAACATATTCGCAAGAACTGCATGGTTAACGTTATTAATCAAAAAAGGTTGTGGTATGGACGAATATTTACGCAGAACGTTATATGGAATAAACAAAGCGAAACGAAGAAACAAGCAGCGGTAATGTTAGTCTTTAGACATTCTTTGGCCGATGGTGTTGCTCTAATAGGGTTCTTAAAAAATTTTATGATCCGTGAAAAAAATCCTCAACTCATGCAACTCGACCCAAAATATACAGCAAAACCAAAATTTTCCCTCGATAACGCTTACATTTATCGCAATCTACTCACTTCTAAACGAGATGAACCCAAATTTAATGTGATAAACAACGAACGTCATGTAGTCTTTTATATAGAAGACGAAATTAAGTATGTTCCGTTAATAAAAAAAATCAAAAATAAGTTGGGGATAGGATTTACTGAGATATTAATTGCTGGATTAACCGCTAGTTTAGCGGAAATACTAGCGAGAAGAGGTGAAAAAATGGATAAGTGTTCCACAGCGCTTATATTTAGGCCCATAGACGAAGATTTAGTGAGTATTGTTAATGGAACGTACAATTACAATAAACTTACGAATAACTCAATACCAATTGTACTTAACACTCAAGTTACAATGCAGAAAGAATCTACGATGTTAGATCGGCTTAAATCCATTGGAAATGAACTTAATAAAGGAAAATTTTCAATTGATGGTTTGGTAACAATAACTACTACAAATAATAATTAAAATTAAACGAATATATTTCAAATGTTTAGGTGTATTATGAACTTTCAAACATGGGACATTTGATACCTTCTTCCATTGTAAAACAAATCGTTTCCCACACTAGTAACTTAACAGCAGGTGCAACTAATGTTGGTGGATTGAAAGCGGGAACAATAGCTGGATGTGAAGTTGAAGCAGCTATGTCATTTATTACGTACTTCAGCAACACATGTATTAATTAACTAATTACGCAAACATCAATTTTTATAATCTTATTTTTTAGGTTTTGTTTTATCGATAATTTCGAAAGACGATCGTTTTCAATTAGCTCTGACTATGAAGGAGAATGTTGTGAAAAGTAGAAAAGAAGCTCAAGATGTTATTGATAACGTATTTATGTTTGTTGATAATTTAAGTGAAGAATTACAAATCCAATAATCTAAATCATTTCTTACGATTACTATTGCATAAGATATAAAAGCACAATTATTGTAACTGAAGAATAAATAAATATAAAATTATTAATTCAATCTTCTTGCGCAATCTTCTTATTCAATTAATAAAAATTTTATTCAACTAACACTGCTCTTTGATGCGGCTCGATGTTACTTTCAGTTTGTAATACTTTCGACAACTGCAAGATAGCTTTCGGAACAATGAATGTTTGGGAAAAGGTGAAGGGCCCTAACTTAACCGTAACGGTAGTGGTGTAGGTAGTTTTCACTACCCCGAAGGTGGTGGTATACAATGTGGGTAATAGTTTGAGTAACGAGGCGATGATGAAAGAACTGTTTAAAAACAATATAGAGGGTGATATGGGAAAAGTTCAAGAAGGGAGCAAAAATGGTGTTTAACTCTGGAAAAAAGGATATCTAATAAAGTAATAGAAGTGAGTGGAAAAGTGTATAATAATAATAATAAAGGCCTTTATTTTGCATATAACAATAATACAATTCAACTGACATGATTTGCTATATAGGCGAGGTTCAGTTCGGAGACTGCTCTACCACCTAACCTATAATCAAGGGTGAGCACTACCCGGGTGATTTTATACCGGGGTAAATACCCGGGTATAGAAAGTACCCGGTACTCGGGTATTTAACTAAAACGTAACCCACGCTACACCTGACATTAATGTTGTGCACATCCGTTCTGAACGAGATTTTATTGTATAAATAAGGTGGAACTGCTGCACTCAGAAGAATTTTACGAAACATCGTTACGGCATGTAACTCCTTCCTATTTCCCATATTGAGCCACCTAGCATCTCTCAGTCTATGTGAAATTTAATATATAGCGCAGTATCCCATATATCAGACGTAAACACGCATTCTGAATTCGTTGAATCCTTTGTCGATCCCGGAGTCTGAGGTGGGACCCATAGATCATGTCACAATAATTTAAGCACGATAAAACAATGGCATCACAAAGCTATTTTTTGAGTTCTGCGTTTAGGATATCGCGGTTCTGAAATATCAGCCTGAGTTTAAAATAACATGCTTTTAGACAACTGTTAATATGCGAAGTAAAGTTAATGTGCTTGTCCAGTGTCAGACCAAGGATCCTCACCTCATTTTGAGCAGCAATAGCAACACCATTGATCTGTAATTAACTGCTGTAATAGCGATCATTACATAGCAAAATAAACTGCGTTTTAACTGGATTTATGTCAAGACAGTGCGCATGCATTTTTCTGACACGCTTGCCCTGTCTCTGACGGCGCAAAGGACATATACAACTGTGTGTCATCAGCATACAGGTGATTTTCCACGTTGCTCAAACGAGTGCACAATTTAGCTGTGTAGATCTAAAATAATAATGGACTGAGGACCGATCCCTGTGGAACACCACAGTTCACAGGAAGAGAATCAGATGTATCACTCCCATACACCACCATTTGTCTTCTGTTTAGCATAAAACTATTAATTAATTGAACCGCTGATGGCGCTAGCCCACATGATGAAAGAATACTCAGTAGAATTTGGTGGTTAATAGAATCGAAAGCCTTGGAAAAATCCAGTAATACAAGCGCCACACATAGTCTATTGTTTACACATAGTCAATGGCTTGATGTACATCATCCAATATTTTCAACAACGCGGTACTACAGCTGTAACCCTCCCTAAATCCTGACTGATATTCAGGCAACAAATTATTCCGTTTTACAAACTTACGAAGTTGGATATCCATAATTTTTTGCAATGGGGAACTATTTGCGCTGTTTTCCAGCTGCCCGGAAAAACAGAGTGAACTAGACAAAATTTTATTATATACGTTAAAGGTTCCAACAGAAATGGGAAGCACAAAGACAACATCTCCTTATTAATGCCGTCACAACCGGAAGCGTTACTACCAATTGACTCAAAAAGCGCAAGCACCTCACGACTTGAAACACTCTCGAAGCTCATTCGCTCACCACCAAAAATTGGTTTTGATAAATAATCGTTGACCATAGATGACCCGTTATGATTAAATGCAGGGACGGAATCAATAAACGCGTTGTTGATCGCCTGCACATCCGTCAAGTGATCGGGAAGGACATTCTTGTCGTTGCTACCATCACCCAGGAGATTATTAAGTTCTTTTCATAAGGATTTAACTTGTTTTACATTTTTCAGGTCGTTAAGATACGATTTCTTTGCTGAACGACATTCCCGAGTCACCAAGTTTTGGAGAGTGCAATATTCCCGCTTATTGCCATTAGATTTGTGTCTTATGATTGTTCGAAGAGATATGTCTCGCTGTTTCATTAGGAACCTGATATGATCATTTAGCCACGGCGCCGCCGATTTAGTAATCCTTCTGGTTACGAGAGGAGTATGTCTATCAAATAAAATACGTAAACAGTCCGTGAAAAACTCCACCTTAGAATCAATATCATCTCTATCATAAATATTACGCCACGGCACACTTCTCAGATCGCTCACGAATTGATTGTAGTTCAAATTTTTAAAATTTCGATATATTTTTTCAAGTGGTACCAACTTACGCTTTGCACCCTTGTAGCTACAGAAAATGGTCTCATGATCTGCGAATTTTTCCTGCAATAATACCACGCTTTGCAAGATAGCTAAATCCGAGATGATTTGTTTTAGAGACAACTGTTCGGAAAAATTAAGCAACTCTTGTGTTGGCCCCTCAAATGTTGCGCCATAATCAATATTAAAATCGCCAAGGATCAAGAAACTACATGCGTGATTCGCAAGGTCTAAGATAGCATCGTGCAAGGTGCCAAGAGATGGTGTATAAATAGATGCCACAAGATGGTACAGGTGCCAAGGATTTGGGCACTTGCAAAAATATTCCAGAGCTGAAATAATGTACAGGCATTGTTTAGGGAAGTAGAGCGACTTTCGGGGATGCAATGAACGGAACGGGCTTCCGATGTATGCCAACTGCAAGAGCAGGGGTAAGGACGCGGCTTCCTACAGTAATTAAGAACACGGGAAAAGACAGGATGGACATAAATGCGATACATGTTGGGAGAGAGCGAGACACGAATGTGTTATTGCTGCAGGAGCTATATCTGATACAGGATGCATGGGAGAGGAATAACACTATGGTTTGAATAATCACAGCAGATAAGATTATAGGGTTGGTGATTGAGGATGATTGTAGAGTGTGATATGGGTGTGAGTAAGGTAAAGTTAGGCTGTGCCATTTATTATACCATTTAAAAAACTCCATGAGTTAATCGTTAGTCATTTGTTTTCTGAAATAAAAACAATTGAATGCTGTCTTATTATGGCAAATAAAATATTAAACAACTTTTGTATAAAATGTTTTTTTATAAAGTTGATACCTACCAAGATATATACGATGTATGGAATACATAATGGGCACTCTGTATATCTCGGTAAATATTGACTTTATAAAAAAATATTTTATACAAAAGTTGTTTAATATTTTATTTGCCATAATAAGACTGCATTCAATTGTTTTTAATTCTTATCGGGTAGGCGGACCAACCAGCCTTGCACCGCGACCCTAAGGATCTATTGTATCCCGATAGATATCGTTATCAAATGTCCAATGCTCTTAACGAACATTAATACCTTGCTCGGTGAAAGGTCATTCAGATCCTTTGAGGAGATAAACTGCGACCCAAAAATCGAGAAGCTGATACGGTTAACGGCAGGGCAGTGGCATAAGACATGCTTAACCGTCTCTGCTTCCTCCGTACAAAGTCGGCATTCAATATTCGGCATTCAAACCCCATTCCCGGGTTTGACAGTGACGATGTTAATAAACACCTTAGCATGTCTCATTCCAGGAGAACTGGTCCACAGTAGGCTAAGTCTTTCTTCAGCCCACAGTCCAATCCTATATTTGGCCATCGCAAATGATACACGAACTGCTGGTTCCGGTCTCCCAAACGGTTTAGCGCTACCCTCTTGTGCTAGCTCATCTGCCGCTTCATTGCCAGCAACCCCAGAGTGATCCGGGACCCAGATCAGAGAAACTCTGTTATCACAACTCAGTGTGTTTAATGTTCTCTTACAATCATTAATCAGAGCCGACACCGTTTTCACGGCTTGCAACACCTGGAGAGCGTCTTGATTGTCTAAGAAAGCTCGTGCTGTCATGTTCTTCACCCCTCTCTCAAGAAGAATTTTATCACCCATGTTAATAGCAAATACTTCCGCCTGGAATACAGTACAGTACGTACCCAGGCTGTAGGCTTGCTTAATTCGAGGTGTCTGGCGGTATACTCCTGCTCCGACCCCTTCCGGCGTTTTAGATCCAATTTTCGTTTTTGATACCGCCAAACCTGACGGCATTGATAGCACAGTATCAGTGCTTATAATGTCTTCCGCAGCCCATTGGTAGGACATGTCGAAACAGTTTTGAGTATATTGCTTAAATCTGTAAATGGTTGTTCTAGCCACTTTCTCTATATGCAAATGCAGAGGAGATAGACCAAGCAGAACCTCCATTGCTATAATTGGCGTTGTGCTTATCGCACCAGAGATTGCCAACCCAGCTACTCGTTGAATTCGTGAAAGTTTACTGATAACTGAAGTCTGTCGGACTTTCCTATACCAGGCTGCTGCTCCGTATGTGATCATAGGTCTAACCACAGTCGCATAGAACCAGTACAGTCTTTCAGGGGTAAGACCCCAATTTTTTCCACAAAGACTGCGACAAGTCCACAAGGATAGTCTAGCTTTATGCAAAACTCCCTGCAAATGTCCATTCCATGACAAGGTTTCGTCCAGGATTACTCCTAGATATTTGACGACTTCCTTTGAGAAAGGAACTTTTTCACCTTGGATAGTTGGGTGGATTAGTCCATACAACTTTCGTTTCCTGGTGAAGGGCACAACAATTGTCTTTTGCGGGTTTATTGAGAGATTCTCTCCCTTACATCAAGCGCAAATGGTATCTAGGGTCACCTGGAGGACTTTAGATATCCTCGACAAACAGGTTACTTTGACCATAACGATAATGTCATCAGTATAACCTTGTATTTCTACACCAACGGCTTCAACTATCGCAATTAGATCGTCAACCAGAAGGGAC